AGGAAAGGGGCGCCTGGCTCTGGAATGTGAGCCCCCCTCACTGAGCTCCTGGCTTCCCCTCCGCCAATCCCCTTCTAACAACAGGAATATCTCACCCTCCTCACTTCTCTTCTCTCTGCTTTCAAGCTGTCCAGGATTTCCTTATTGTGGAAACCGCGTCACTTGACCCCAGGGCCCCTTCGCTCCCGAAACCCCCCCTTCCTGGTTACACTCCTAGGGATTACCCACCCTCCCTCACCGTCTTCCCCCTTGGCCCCTGGCTGCTGGCTTTCAGCGTTATCAGTTCACTCCGCTGAAACTGCCTCTCCAGCACCCTGACCCTTAACCCCCTGCCACTTCACTATTTCTTGCTGTCAACACTCGGATGCCCCCACTGACATTCAACAGGAATGTCGATGAAGTCAAATTCATTGTCTCCCATCCGCACATCCATCTTCCGCCGTTTCCCCCTGGACTCAATCACAGTTCACTGAGACGCTGAGGCCCAGAGAGGGAAGGCTCTGAGCAAGGCCAAGCGTCCTCAGGAGGAGATGGCGAGCCCAGGCCTCCGCCTCGGTCCTGAAGACCTCCAGCTGCCAGGCTCCGGCACCAGGCTTTTGCAGGCGGCACCTGTCCTTGTTCATTCCCATCTGCGCGTACCCAGGCCAGAGCCCGTGAGGGGGGTGCCCCGTCTTCGTTTCCTCCACAGTGTTCGTCAGTGCAGAGCCCACGGAAGGCCTTTAGTAGGAGTTGAGAAGGGGAAGCAGGAGGGCCACGGAGGTGCTGGAGACCCAGAAGGAAAGCAGCTCTTCGTGGGGACTACAGCCCAGATGGTGCTGCATTTTCAGCAAAGCATTGGGCAGCTGGTCACCAGGACCACGTTCTTTATTTTATATATATATATGTATATATGTATATATATATATATACACACACATATGTATATATATGTATATATATGTATATATATGTGTATATATATATATATTACAGAGAGTAAAGGAAAGGAAAAGAGAGATAGAAACATCAATGTTGAGAGAATCATTGATCAGCTGCCTCCTGCACACTCCCCACTGGGGATGTGTCCACAACCAAGATACATGCCCTTGACGGGAATTGAACCTGGGACCTTTCAGTTCGCAGGCTGATGCCCCATCCACTGAGCCAAACCGGTTTTGGCAGGATCACGTACTTTAGAACTGCCCATCGCCTCCTCCATCACTGGCTGACTCTGGGCTTGCGGTGTGTGGTGACACTTCAACTGCTTCATCCTAGACTTCGTTACAGCAGCGATTCTTTCAGAGAACTATTTAGGAGTCTATCTTCTCCTGGGAGAAAAAAATGGGGCCAAAATCCAGGAATTCAAGGACTGAGAGTAACATTAGACTGTCTCCACGGAAAGCCAGGTCTATTAACTACTGTTAATATTTATTGAGTACAGACTGTATGGAAGACATGGTCCCGGGTTTCTTTGTCTGCACTGTCCTATTTCACTCCTATTCCCACGAGGAAGGCTGTCTTACCACCACCGCTTTCAGACGAGGAGACAGCCTTTCGGAGCCCGGGGTCTGGCTCCAGATGACTCAGGTGGTGAGTCTGGCTTCCCGGGGCGGCTCGGTGCCGCCTGCTCAGTAACCTCACCAGACCTCCTCCCTGGAGAGCTGCTGCCTCTCTTAGGGGGAGAATTGGTCAGAGGGAGCCCTCCAAGTGAGACGAGCAGGACTAACCTTATTTGGTGAATCTCAGTTAAGAATAAAATGTATTAATAAAAGCAGTTTGTGAACTGGTACGTCCGCTGCACATATTAGGTGCTAAGACTGTCAATAGGCCGAAACCGGTTTGACTCAGTGGATAGATGATGGGTCTGCGGACTGAAAGGTCCCAGGTTCAATTCTGGTCAGGGGCAAGTACCTTGGTTGCAGGCACATCCCCATTGGGGGGTGTGCAGGAGGCAGCTGATTGATGATTCTCTCTCATTGATGTTTCTAGCTCTCTATCCCTCTCTGTGAAAAATCAATAAAATATATTAAAATTAAAAAAAAAAAAGACTGTCAATAGGTTAGCCCTTCTCCTGCCTTTATACAACCCCCTCAGCTGCTCGTTCTTGGCGGGAACATTTTCCCTATAAGTGAATGGCAGTGTCCTTCTTACCAACCCATGGCTTCAGCTTTTAGAGGTCCCTTTATCCAGATGTTCCAAATGGCTCCTGCCTCCCTGCGGACAGCGTTTGGATATTTAGGCCAGAATCTATCAGTTTTGTTAAGCCCACGTTTTTAGAAAAACATCTAGGTAATGAGCACAAAATGAACATTGAATCACACAGAAAACAGGGGCAAAGTTGGGACAGAAGGGGTATTAGTTTTGCCTCCTTGTCTTGTTCTGGGCCTCAAAGGCTCATCAGGCCATTTCCCCGAGAAAAATTTCCCATGCATCCCCCAGCCCCTGTGACAGGGGCCAGAGGCAGGTAGGACTCTCCAGAAACAGGGGTGCACCAGCGGCAGGACCAGCAGCGACACCTGAAGTTCTTCCTCCCGGTGCTGGGCTGGGGAAGGGAACAATTACACTAAAATGCACTGCCCCAGGGTGGGAGGGCAGCATAGGTGTACCCCACAAGAAGGCAGAGAGCTAAGGAAGTGGAGGAGCCTGGCTTCTCTGACTCTTTCCGACAGGATTTTCATTCGGCACTCTGGCGTGGAAGAGACCGCTGAGTGTGGCCGGTAGCTTGGGAGGGCATGACAAGGAAGGGGGAACCTTGTCTCCAATAGACAGAGCAGGAATCATTACCACTTTCCACAGGTCCACATACGTGCTTTTTTCTTTCTTTGCTTCAACCACAAATGCCAAGTTGGGATGTGTTTTGTTCAGGGAAGAAGGCCAGAGACCCCACCCAGCAATCACAGACAAAACATGGTGAGAGCTCTCTCATTCCCACCGGCATTTGCCCCCGGCGCTGGCTGCGGGCTCCCCAGCAGCTCAGTGACTCAAGCAACGGGTCGCTCACCACTTCCCTTGGGAAGCTGGCCTTGGGCTCCTCACTGCGTGTTTTCCCAGCTGCTCAGCCACAAGCTCCTTTCCTGGGGGCACTGCTGCTCCCCTTCCTGGGCCACAGGCTTGACTCATCTTGGATGGAGATGGTGGGAGGTGGAGGGAGGTGGTGGGAGGTGGTGGGAGGTGGTGGGAGGTGGAGTGAGGGGGTGGGAGGTGGAGGGCTAGGTGTGGGACATTAGCTGGCGGTGCATCCATCTGTCACCTGCTCTCCCCCTGGGTTGTCAGAGGGAGACCAAGCAAGGTTGCCCCTTCGTGTGCGCATTCTAGACCCCAAATGAGAAATGTGTCCCCTACCCCAACCGTACTCCGTTAGCCTGAGAACTAGTCTCAGTCATCTCTGTGCTTGGGGTCCATAAATGTGTGTATGAAGTGAATCCCCAAATTCTTCCAGGTTGCATCCAGGTAGAACGACCTGGGCCTTCTAGTCAAGGCCTTTCCTTGACCCCCCCCCCCCCCCCCCTCCCAAAGATCCTAACCTCAGAATCCACGCTTTATTCTGAGGAGAGGAACTGGGTGTGTTTTTAATTGGACAAAGTGGATTCTAAGCTTTTATGATTGCTTTAGACCAGCTCTTCTCCCTGCCCCATCTGTCCCCAGAGATAAAGCCTTGAACTAGCTCCCCTAGGTGAAAACACAACCCCCTTCCCCCCCTTCAGTTATAGACCACTCATTTAAGGTTGCTGGACCTGGTCTCATAAACCCCATTCACTGTGAGGTGAGAAAGTCGTAGTGTGCCTCCGGCCCAGGCCAGCACAGCTCCAAGGAAGCTTTTCCCTCTAATTAGTCTGGTATTTGCTAAAACAGCTCTTAGTTTCCTTATTGTAAAAAAAAAAAAAAAAAAACGGGAGGACAATAGCTCCTATTGCCAATCCATTCCAGAGTTCCTGCTCCCTCTTTCCCCCACTCTCCTGCAGCCCCTGGCCCACCGAAAGGGGAAGGCTGTCGCCTTGTTTGGTTACTAATTAAGAAAGGGCAAAACCTAGGATTATTTCTATTGTTTCCCCCCTCACTGTACTGCTTTCAAAGGCAATTTCTTTAGCAGGCCACCTCCGACTTACTCAGGGAAGAGATGGGTTTCAAACTGTAAAAGAAAAGGCAGTTGGAGAGCAGGTCTCAAAGGTGCTGGCTGCTCCTGGTTGGCCCTGACCAGAGTCGGGAACAGGTCAGGGCTCAAGCACCTGCATCCCTGGGACCTTGGCAAACTCCCTTTTGGGCAGGTCACCCTGGGGTGTTGAGGACTTGGAACCCCAATAAAAGTATTTAAGCTTCAGTCTGAGCTGAGGCTAAACACTAGGCCCTAGTGGTATTTTCAGGCCACTACGAACCGATGGTGCCACTATCCTGTGTCTTGGTTTCCCCCCCAAAAGTCAGGTGAATAACTTAACCCTAAAGCTGTCAGAAGTGGTGAGAAAATGAGTTGGAAACATTTTTCTTGGTGTGCCAACACCCCCCCTGCCCCCCATCAAATGTCCTGACCCAGAAGTCTCTTGCTGAGGGCAGGAGAGGAATGACTTGGGTTGGTAAAGCGGAAATAAGAGATCACTCTACCGCTTGAGGGGATAAAAAAGGAGGATAAAGTGCGTGCAAGAGTTTGCTGTAAATATAAGCTATTGAGGTAACTCTCCCCTCAGTGCCTCGGGTTCCGCAGCCCCGAGGTAGGTGCTCCTGGCCCGGGTGCTGGGGGGCCCGGGGGGCGGGCAGGGTGCTGCTGGCCGGGCAGCGGGTCCAGTCCCCAGAGCAGCGGCGGGCGGTGTTGCTGGGCGGCGGCTCCCCATCCACACCCGCCAAGGCCCGGGCCGCTCGGTCCAGAGGCCGCGGGAGGAGCGGTGTCCGGCGGGCGGCCGGGCAGGTGCGGAGGTCACGGTCCAGCGCCGGGAGGCGCCGGAGGGGTCCGCGCTGCGGGGGCTGGAGCGGCGGCCGCGCGGCCGGGGGCGGGGAGAGGCGGGGGCGGGGCGCGGGGCTCGGATCCGCTCGCTCGGCGCCCGCCCGGCACTCCCAGCCCAGCCGCGCCGCCGCCGCCCGCAGCCCACTCGGCGGAAACTTCCCGGGGCCCCGCGCTCCGGGGACAGCGCGCCGCCCGGCGACCACCGACGGCCGGGCCCTCCCTCCGCGCGGCGCGGGCTCCGCACCGACTTTCCCGCCGGCCGAGAGCGGGGTCCCGGCGCGGAGCAGGGAGCCTCCTGCGGCGGGAGCGAGCGCGGACTCCGGGGCCGGCAGCGCGCACCCCGCGGAGGCAGCCCGGGCGCCGGCCGGCGGGACCCAGCGGAGCGCGCCCGGCGGCTGCGGAGCCCGGAGCGGCCGCTGAGGGGCGGCCCGGTCCCGGCCCGGCCCGGCCCCGCGCGGCCGTCGCCGGAGGAGCCGGAGCCCGCGAGCCGGACGAGCAGGTAAGCGCGGCCGCCGCTGCGGGAAGGGGCGCTCGCGGGCCGCCCCGGCCCCGGCCCCGGCCCCCGGCGGAGACGCCCCTCCGCCGCTCGCGCCTCCGAAACTTCCGAAGCGCCGGTTCTGCCCCTTCGGCGGCCGCGGGCGGCGGAGTTGGGCGCCGCGGGCGCTCGGTCCCCGGAGCGCGGAGGGACAGGGGGTGCGGGGGGACTCGGGGTGCGGGGGGCGGGCCCGCCAGGTGGGGGCTGGGAGCGCGGAGAGGGAAGGGGATCCCGCCCCAGGCCGCAGACAAAGCGGGGGCCGCCCGCCGCCTCCTGCCTGCGGGCGCGGGGCGCGGGCAGCGGGGGTCCCTCTCCCGCTGCTCGGGCGCTGCGGCTCCCGGCCCCCGGGGGTGGGCGGCGGAGGAGGCGGCCGGGGGTGCCGCCCTCCGGAGGTGCAGGGACTTCCCCGGGCCCCGCGGGCTCCTGTCCGGGAAGCGCGAGCCCCTCGGTCTCCCCGCGCCCTTTCCCGGCGCGGCCGGGCCCAGCGGGAAGCTCTGCTGAGCGAGCGCCACATCTGGAGGACTTCAGCCCCCGAGTGGTTAGTTTGGTGTCTGGATTCCTGCCGGAGCCCAGAGCAGGTCAAGCCCGGAGTGGGGTCCGAGGTTTCCGTTTTCTTCCATTGCTCCTGCGCTCCGTACGCACATCTGTTCCTGCCCCGCGAGATGGGGAAGTTACATCTTTCTCCATCTTCTCGGGGACCCTCAGGCACGTTTGGCCGTGCACCCACTCTGGGCCAAATTTCCCAGATACTTCCGTCCTCCGCTCACTGTGAGAGATGATGGTGCAGTTTACCCAGAGGAAAGTGAGGTGGCTCAAGCCAGGGGACGGGTTCACAACTTGAAGGGAGCACTTGGTCTCCACCCCCAACTCCCACTGCCTTCACTGCTTTTGCCACCTGGCCACGTTGGCAACAGCTTTCAGTTACTACCACCCTGGGCCGCGTTTCATCCTGGTACCTGGGGGAGAAAGAGGTTCAGGATCACGTTACCAATCCCTGACTGCTCCAGTCACCAAGAATGTGCCCGCTAGACAGAGCCGTGATGGGGCATCTGTGTCATGCCATCTGTGTGGGTGCAGAAACCTCTGGGCCAGCGGGGCAAGGTCACATCCCCTGCGACATGCCAGCATTCATGCAGGCAGGTCTGTGGCTGTCCCTAAGGCAGCAGAGCGTCCGGGAGCAGTGGGCACCCCCTCAAAAAGCCTGAGGACCCTCTCCTGGTGCCAGCCACTCCTGCTGCTGTCTGATTTGCCTGTGGCTTTCAAAGGTCAGACTGCTACGCTCTGGCATAAGTGAGTGGGTGCTGGCCCAAGTGTATGCCCACACACCTGTCCAGGTACAGACACACCAGTCCTGGCTAACACACCGACCTAAGGCTGGCAGAAGGCTGAGTGGTGGTTTTCCTCCATTTCAAAATAGTGTCTGTGTGACACAAAAGGATTGGGGTTATAAGTAGAGAAGGAGCCCGTGTGTCTCCTAAGGAAAGGCAAGGCGGAGAGGAGAGGAGCGATGCGGCTGGGCTCTTGATGGTGCTGTCAGGCCCCGGAGTCCAGGGGAAAGAGGCAGCTCAATGCCAGCTCTCCCCATTCCCAGCTCAGCCGGAGCCGACAACAGGGTCAGAGTGGAGCAAGGGGACCTAAAGGTCAATATGTGTGGCCCTAGTGGGTGCGGCTCAGCGGATAGAGCCTCGGACTGCGGGCCGAAGGTACCGGGTTTGATTCCTGTCAAGGGCACGTACCTCTGTTGCAGGTTCCTCCCTGCCTCCCTGGCCGGGGCTCTGGTCCAGGCACATGCAGGAGGCAACCAATCAATATGTCTCTCTCACATCCATGTTTCTCTCTCTTTCCCGCTCTCTTCTCCTCTCCCTAAAAATCAATGGGAAAATATCCTTGGGTGAGGATTAACAAAACAAACAACAAACAAAAATCAAAACAACAAAAGTCAGTATGTGGATAAATAGCTAAGGGTAGCCCTGAGCAGCAATTCCTTCTTTTCCTAAAGAAAATCAGACTGAGGGCGTCTCTTGGGGTCTGCCTGCCAGGGCAGCCGGAGCCAGAGCTGGCTGGCCCTTTCCATCCATGGATTTCCTACTTTCTCAGGCTCTGATTTCTTATGTGTTCCAGTATGAATATGTGAGGGAAGGGGTGTGTGTGTGTGTGTGTGTGTGTGTGTGTAGGTGTTTGCTCAGGGTGTTTGAAATCAATCCTCTCGTGTGTACATTTGGTGGTTGTACTATCTCCAGGGGTGTCTTATTGGCTTGAAACAACCTTTTTCTAAGAAACTTTTTACCCCAAAAGTTTAAGTTACAGGGACATTGCCAGATTGGTGGGAGCCATGTGCTGCGAAATGAAAAAACCTGGGATGGTCTTCACCTGGGGATCTCACCCTCTTGCTCTAGTCGCAGTAGGACGGTGCTTTTGTTTGCACTTCAGGGGGACAGAAGAGCAGGCCAGTCTGTCCTAATTTTTACTCTAGCATAGCGCTGCTGGCTTCTGGATTGCACGGCCTGGCATCTCTGGCAGGGGAGGGAATTTTTATATGAAGTGATAGCGCTTGCCTTCTCTGAAATAAAATACGCCCACAAAAGCTTTCTTGTTTGCTGTTCTGTTCTTGTTCTCCCTAGTGTCCTTCCAAACTGCCCGTCCTTTATCTCCCTAATCTTCTTAACAAGTCTTCAGACTCCACCTTTGTTCCGGCCCCACTTCTGAACACAATCCTCAGAGTTTGTTGTGGTTATTTCTGTAACTCCTTCAGCCCTCTCCAGATTCATAAGAACGATGGATATAAAAATCTGCTAGTGAGGAGAGAATACGGGGGTTCCCACCCTTACTGAAGGGCATTCTTGGATGGTTTTCAATGGGGCATCTTCAAATTGTATCCAGGAGTCCAGAAAAATCTGGCAGAGGGGTTGGGGGTAGATACTGGGATAAAGACAAAAAGACCTAATGATTTTAAATCTGAGCCACTTTTTAAAGTAAAAATGGCCTTCTCCCATCTTTGAGGAGCAGCCTGTTCACTCCCCCACCAGCACGTTGGTGCGGCCTGGGAAGCAGACCTGCTGTTTGATAGGGTCTGGCCCGGCTGTCCCTTCAGCGAGGAGAGCAGGTGACTGCCCTGCTCGTGCCAGGCTTCTCCAGGGGCAGCTGTTTACCTGGCTACATTTAACCCCCGCCCCTCCGTCCTCCGCCTGGCCACTGGGCTGGCTCCTCCAGCAGCATTTCCTGACTTCTGCGCCCCTGTGGTTGCAGTTGGGCTTTTTTGCGTGAATCCTCTTCTAGACTTTCTCAAGTTGGTTCCTCTCCTCCCTGCTTCTCCACCCACATGGCTTTCTTCCCAACTCAATTTCCTCCTGGGTGAATTGGAGCCTGGTTGGTACTTGGGGGAGACTGCCCCCCTGGCCCCTCCAAACACCGTGCACGAGGGTTCAGGAAACCTAGATTCAGGCTACTGTGCTGACTGGAATCATTGCCCAGCCCAGCCCCCCAGCCAGCGGCTCTGGAGTCCCCTCTGAGCAACCCAGGGCAGCCTTTCAGGGCGCAGGCTGTATCGTCAGAATTCCTTTTTGCACCCCCAAACCCCTGAAGACCCATCCAGCCCTTCTTTATGTCCTGTTCTTGGCATCACCATCTTTTCCTGAGGTTTTGCTTGGTAGGCTTACTGGGTGGGAGGAGGGGGCAGAGTACGGAGGGTGGTGGAGGGAGGAGGCTCATTGTAGCCACTTATTGGGGTTCAGTTGTCTCCTCTACAAAGTGAGGGGGTTGCACTAGACTGTGCTAGAGGCCCCTTCCAGCCCTCACATGCTGTTTTAAATAGCTTTAGCTGGCTCAGTCCTGGAAACCCCTCTGCTGTAGACCAGGCCTGGGGGTGGAAGCAGCCAATCCCAGAGGGTGCGTTCCCACGGGAGGGGCGGGGGGAGGGGGGGCGGAGGGCGGAGGGATGGAGGGGCGGGGGGGGGGGGGGGGCCGGGGGAGCGGAGGCGGAGGGATGGAGGGGCGGGGGGGGGGCCGGGGGGGGCGGGGGGCGGAGGGATGGAGGGGTGGGGGGGGCGGGGGCCGGGGGGGCGGAGGGCGGAGGGATGGAGGGGTGGGGGGGGCGGGGGGCCGGGGGGGGCGGAGGGCGGAGGGATGGAGGGGCGGGGGGGGGCAGGGGGGGCGGAGGGCGGAGGGATGGAGGGGCGGGAGGGGCGGGGGGGGCGGGGGGCGGAGGGGTGGAGGGGCGCGGGGGGGGGGGGGGCGGAGGGCGGAGGGATGGAGGGGCGGGGGGGGGGGGGGGGGGGCGGGGGGCGGAGGGATGGAGGGGCGGGGGGGGGGGGGCGGAGGAGCGGAGCCGGCCCCTGCCTGTCGCTTTCACAGAGTTACTGTTTCACAAGCCGTGGTCTTGCAGGCAGGGCTTGTGGTCGCGCTGGAGGCTCAGGTTGTGCTCCTGGGTTTGGGCTCTGGCCTGCCGGGGGCCCCTGCGGTTAGCCAGCCTCCGAAGGATTAGGGAGGCTCTGTCTTCCAGCTCCGGGTGATTTCAGGGCTGCTGCCCGAGTGGCTGGGGGAGGCACCCCGAGTCGATCTTACACGGGTTTCCAGTCCTCCCTTCTCTAAGCTTCCCTGAGCCCAGAAACGCTAACCCTTCAAAGGTTAGTCTGGTCTGACTGGTTGATAAAGGTCAGGAGTGGGTTTCCTGAGGTCTGGAAAATGATAGCTGGGCTTACATGGGAGAAGGCGGCGGATTAAAAGTTCTTGGTTTACAAATCTGAGTCCCCAATGGTCACTTTGATGATCTGGAATGTTCCATCAGTAGATTTGCTCTGAGAACTTCTTGGGGAGCAAAATAAATATGGCGCAAGAAAGCTTTTCTACCACTAGCCCACGGTAATCCTGTTTCCCCTGAGCCTTGCTCTGCCCTCGGAGAGGAGCTGGGCGTTGAGGGCACAGGCGTGGAGCAGCCCTGAGCCCGGCACTCTGCCCCTGCCCCGGCC